TTTTTTTTTATCTTTTGTTTCTTGCCTTTTTCATATTGTTGCATCTCCGTATCCGCTGTCTTTTTCTAACTCGCGAGTAACTCGATTTCTTAACTTAATAATAATCGTTTAGTTTTTACGATAGCGAGCAATCAACGCGATAACGCTGCCATTTCGTGCTCCGAACATTAAAAGAAAAAAAAAAGAAAAAAAGAAAACGGTAGTTAAGCTGGTAGTAACATACGGCACGGTGTTTCAATTCGTTATTTCAAAGAAATGTGTACGCATTTGGTAAACGCATTATTAATAGTAAATTATCGTTTGATGAAACGACATTGTTATCAAGATTATTATCACGTACATTAAATTCTCGTTAAATATAATTGATAACAAATTTCTACAAACAAGCGCATCGCATTAACTCTCTTTACCTGCAGCATGTTAACGAGTGTTTTTTCACATGTATCGAGTGGAAACAAATCCGTAAAGCCTGAAGACTTTGTTAAAAGCGTTGCTTTTATAACGTGTGATAAGGCGAGATTAACAATTTCACAAAAAAATGTTGCCCTCTAAGTAGATTCTCGGGAAGCGCTGCAAATAGCTGTTTTCAGCAATTTCGCTCGCGTGAAATTTAAATCCGGCGACACGTGGACTTAGATTAATAGTAATACAAGAACTAAGTTCCTCATGTCGTTAATGATACTATGCTGATTTCGTATATAAGGTTTCATGTGCTATCAAAACGTCTAGACTAAGAGCAACGACATTAAGAGAATAGCAAGACACTTACAATTAGCTATCAATCCATGAATATCCTTGTGTACTATCAGTTAAAAAAAAAAAAAAAAACTCTCTGATCAATATCGGTCATCTAGTATCTTCATACTTAACACTTTGCCAATCAATCGTGATTGAACCTACTACGCATTAAAAATCGGCTCGATTTCGATCACATTTCTACAACAATTTCTCTTTAAATCAACGTTCGTGAGAGTATTCACTATGTCAGTCCGCTTTCTCTTGTTACAGGATAATTAAATTTAATAAGATTTTTAATTTTCATGACATTAATATTTATTTCATGTATGACAACTATTTTTAAACAATTATTAAGATGTATTAAAATATATTAAAATTATTAAAATATATTAAATTTATTTGACATAATGTCAATGTAATTGGCATCAGATATAATGATTTTCTTCAAGCGAGTGAATTTCTAATATTTTTTTTCAGAAAGCGATATCGCTAGAAACTTTTATGTAACATAATATCAGTAAAGTTGATAAACGAAACGTGTTATATTTCTAATTTTTTTTCAAATCCACAAAATTGTCTTTAGAGTTTTTTACTTTTACTATCTATATACTTACTGTATTTACAACTATGTTTTTTGAAATTTCATAATTTTTTATTTGACTTGGGTGGTTAAATCTGGACGCCATTGTACAATACTCAGAAGTATTGTATAAAATAAATATCGTTAAATAAATTTGAAATATTGTCGTCTTTAAAGTTACAAAAAGCCAAATATGCTCCCGGTTGATGAACAAACTACCGATTAATAAACAAAATTCAGTCAGTAAAGTGTTAATAATAAAGTTTAGGATAACTTCATAAGCTTCAACGCATCAGTTCTGATACTGAATCGTCGAAAATGAATCAATTTTCTTTCTCTATTTTCCGAATAAATCCTGCGTCTTCATAATTCACAAAGTACGTTAATATTCTGTTTGTGTGAATAATGTTTTTATTGAACTTTAAAGATCAAGACTGACCGAAATAGGCAGGTCTGACGTGAAAGTATCACAAGTCGATCCTGGACTTTGCCAATTTCGTAGGGGCTATTACAAGATCGTCCGGCAACACCGAACTCGGTATGTGTTAAAATGATTTCAATGCGAAAATATTTGTTTGCTCGAAATTATATTGCCTTCATGCTAAACGGACAGTGTCCGATGTATACACGTGATTTACGCTGATTTACGCTTACGTTTCATAACCAGACGAACGACACTTTTGCTCGAGCCGAATCTTTATCGAATCGTGAACAAATATTGCAGATATGGTCGCTTTTCCGGACTCGTCGACTGAGCCGGCGTTGTTAAATGTCACTGATATTAAATTGAACGAGTGCGTGGATCATAATGGACACGTATACGAAACTAATGACAGAGGAGTTAAGGATCACGCGTTCACCATACAACGAGCGGACATGTCGAATGGCAAAGACAACTATGCGTTAGATTTCGATTGCATGGAAAAGGCTATCGACAACAAATTGAACGCAACGGGCGACATTAAAGCAGAGGCGGATGTCGTAAAGAAAGTGGCAGGTGAGAAATGAATTAAATTTGTTTGTTTGCATACTGTGGCCTGTAATACTTAGAACCTTTGATGTAAAAACAAAAAAAAAAAAATTCCTCAATTTTCATTTAGAGGTATAATCGTTATATTTATTACGTTCAAAAAATGTTTGAAGTACTCCGTTTCTAAAAGCTCACCAGCCGTACGACATTTTATAGACAATAGCTCCTTCTGATGAGAAATTAACGCGCGGTACGATAGAACGCATAACGGGTGTTGCTGCGGAGGATGATAATGCAAAAGTTCCTTTGTTCCGCACACGATTTCATTAAACAACCGGCGAACGCGGAGCTGAGAGAACCGTGGGGAACCGATTGAAACATACACTTTGCGCGAGCATGCTCTACAGATTGATATTAATGAAAATTGTTGTGTTAATTAATAACGATCGTATTGATAAAACAATCGCCTCGTCGATCAAAATATTCGCCGCGTCGTATTGTCTGTTGGAGCACGAAACAATAAGGAAATACATGGCGTGTTTGTATCGTAAAATGATTTATAAATAACTCATTTATAAATAAATCATTCTAGCGTTGATAACCTTATTCGTTGTTCTTGTTTGCTTGTTCAAAGCGAGTGGATGAGTAATAACGACATACCGCTAACTTGTGTCAATAAAGAGTTGAGAAAGAATTCGTGAATACTTCAAGTAATTCGCGATCGGCGATTAATAATTGTCTTTGTAAACGTCGTACGGTGCAGTGTGAGATGTATTGATTTCTCGATAGCGGGTCTGAAAAGCCCTAACGGCCCAAAGAACAAAACGGACATGTCACTGCCCAATCTTGGTGGTGGAACACTTTCCAGTGGAAGTTCGATAGTGACCATCTCTTCCGTCGCAAATTCAGATCCTGGTCCCGACTTCCATAATAACACGGATGGCTTTGGTAACAGCACACACAGACATGAAAGATGGTATCAGACCACCCTTCAAGTTGCTGTGCCTTTTTTCATCGCCGGGCTAGGTACAATCGGTGCAGGCCTAGTGCTTGCAGACGTCAAGGTACGTTCCCTCCGATATCAATAAACGCCAACAAGCGACTCGCCATGTCAGATTCGATTATCTTGTATAAATCAAAATCTTGTATAAATCAAAAATGTACGTTCATCGTAAGGCACGTATTTTTCCTGAGAACAAGTTTCCCTTATCGATCGCATACTTTTATTATCTGCAGATAATGTTAAGACACGTGGTAACGTGCTTTCTTTCATTTATCACGCTTCTGTATTTTATCTAGCCGTATAAATGAAATATAACCGAAGATAGCCAAAGAGAGCAACAGGCTCGAAATCTCGAGAATCTCTCGCATAAATACCGCTTTTCCTGATCTCTCGCTACTCTCCAGCAATCTCAGCCCAACCCCTTCGGGTTCCAAACATTCGCGATCCAAGATTTTATCGGCCTTTGCCTAATGTAGAAATTCTTGAAACGTAATTTAACATTCCTGGTTGCATTCCATTTGTAAGAATATCCCGAGGAACGTGGTCCTCTTTAATTAAATGTCGTCTCTGTTTTTCCAGGACTGGCCAGTATTTCGCGCTATTTCTCAATTATTCATTCTGGTGCCGTCACTGTTAGGCCTGAAGGGCAATCTTGACATGTGCTTGGCCTCGCGGCTGTCCACGCAAGCCAATCTGGGCAACATGCACGAGCTACGAGAGATCGTGAAAATGATTGTTGGTAACATCGCGTTGGTGCAGATACAGGCGATCGTCGCGGCTGTCTTGGTATCGATTTTCGCGGTTGTGGTAGACGCGATAGCGGAAGGTAGCGCGTACACTTTCAAATGGAACAATTGCCTGTTATTAGCCACAGCTAGCGTCTGCACTGCAACGAGCTCTTGCTTTATTCTAGGTAAAAATCATTATC